AAAGGGTTAGAAGGCATAGCTACTCAGAACCATTATCACTGAAGACACTTAGCTTCAGGGGGGCTTTCATTTCTTGCCAAGGCCACACAGCTAGGAAGCAAGAATTCAAATTCACACTTTATAACTCTTTCTCTGTGTTCTAATTATTGTGTCCAGTAGTTCAGTGGACACGAATTAGTTCTAACTACTAATTAGAACATTCTGCTAATTAGAACATTCTACAAGTTGAGCTGCTTGAAGTTGAGAACTTTCCTTCTTTTCCCTGGTTTCCCTAGTCTGTAATGCCCACGGACTGGCTCGTGGTGGATACAGCAGTGCGCGCTCTATTTTTAACCATTTTTCCACTGTGCGAAAGAGTCTCTTTTCCGCTCAAGTTAAATCTGAGCTGCTTTCAGTTGTTTTTGCCAGAGGAGGTGGAAATTGGTTCCAGCAGAGATGTTTCCTGTGAATCTAAAGATTTCGAGTGCTGTTGTATTTTAATCTATTAGTCCCAGCATATTATCCATGAACCAGAGCACCTCCGTCAAAGGCACTACACTTAAACTTGGTTTCCCTCATGATTTTGAATTTCAGAAATCTCCAGTCTCTCTTCTAAGTGCACACACTGTATTTGGGCCTCATTCTGCTTTGAAAACAAAACAAAAAAAAAAACCCGTCTTTTTAAAACACTAGAATTATTAAACTACTGGAAAAGTTTGAGTGTTCCGTAATTTTATCTCCCGTCCTAGACGCACCTCTCTCCAGTCCAACCTGATTAGAGTCTGCGTGAGGATTCGATAACAGGAAGTTCTGCAGAGCGGATCGCCGTTCTCCTTTTCCCCCTAATGCGAACCACCTGACATTAGCCCAGTGCAAGGGTTTCAACATCAAACACTCGTGAGCCGAGCGAACACATCTGTTGGAGTGTTCCAGATGCAGCTTGGGTCCGGATGGCTGCCTCTGATGTTTGAACCCGGCGGGGCCGGCGGTCCCTTCCCCAAGATGTGCTCAGCCCGTCTTGCTGGATTCCAACCTTCCCCTGTTGAAGAAACTCAGATTTCCAGTTCCCAGTAACCACTGCCACCTGGCAGGGATGCTTCCTACCCCGAGACCCAAAGGAAGCATTTCTGGCCAATTGAATGTAATTGTGTTGAGTGGTACCCTTTTATGTCGTGCGGAGATTATCTCATATCATCTGGTACCTATTTTTTACAGTCAAGGGAATGATGCTGGAGTATTGATTTATCACCTGTGTGTGCAGGCGTGTGGACGGCTCACTGATTCATCCGGGGGTGGATGGGGGCAGGGACATGTGGGCCAGGTGAGCACCAGGAGGCTCGGGGGGATGTTGGAGGTCGCAGCCAGGAGGGCCAGCAGAGCCGGCTCCCAAACCTGCTGCTGTCGGCGCGGGTCCCAAGCCAGCGCGGGATTTCTTATCCCTGGGGGGGAGGTCGCAGGCTCCACACCAGTGTCTGGGCGCTCGCCATCCTGACAGCGACAGTGGGAGTGCATCCTCTTCCAACACATCCACGGTGTGGTAGTGGGAGGAACAAATCCAGATACAAGTGTAGTGTGAGAAGAACAACCCTCTGTTTCTGTGGTCGAACTTCTCCTCCTTGTGGAACTAAGGTATTTTATTCTTGTAGTACTGCTCCCGGGGACCGTGGAAGAGCACTCCTCTCTCTCCATTCATTCTCTCTGTCACGAGTGTTTGCCGCACAGCCTACCCTGCTGGCCCTGGGAACAGTGATGTGATTAGGCCATCGTCCCTCAGGGCGTTGGGACGCTGGCCGGGAGATGCTGGCCAAGTGGTCATTAATGACCCTTGGTGCTACAAGACGGGTGGGCAGGGTGGCTGTGGTGGCTCGGGAGGGCTAGGCTGATGCAGGGCGCAGAACCAGAAAAGATTTCCCAATAGAGGACATTTGAGGCTGGGTCCTGAAGGGACAAGTGGGCAGGAAGCCAACGAAGTGAACACAAGTGGTGCCCCTGGGAAGGGGCAGGAGACCGCAGTCCAGATCCTGGTGGAATCGGAGGGGAAGGGTTCCAGTTGGAAGGGTCGGCGTAGTGACCGCAGGAGAGAGCCGGGGGCGGGCCAGGTTGGGGCGGGGGCTGTGAGAGGAGGGGATGTGGGTGCCCAACAAGGAACCGGCTAGTGAGGGAGCTGACGTAACCAGTGGACAGTTCGTGCCAGGCCCTGCTGATGGGAGCGGTGGTAGTGGCAGAGCTTGAGAGCCTGGGAGAGAGGGGGAGGCACTCGGGAGACTCACTGGTGCCCGGGGCCCTGAGAACGGCCGGCACGGGTCTTCTCGAGAGTGATCTGCACAGTCTTCCTGTTGGAGGTGAAGACAGGCTCTCTGAGGACTTCTCTGGAGCTGCGCATCAGGGTGGCCACACCGCCTCTGCGCCACCGCCCTCTGGCACGGTCAGGTGACAGAGCGTCAGTGTCCCCCAGAAGCCGAGGCCCTGGGAGAGGCAGGCTCGCCTGGGGACAGACAGTTGGTCAAGTCCCGGTGCTGCTGGTGCCAGGACACGTGTTCTTCCCTCTCCTCGTCACCGCCCGGCAGCGGGAGCGTTCTCAGGGGTCCTTCTGCGTGTAGCTTGAACTATTTCCACCACCTGTAGGACATTCAGCGACAGTACATTCTATTTTTGAAAACTATGTATGTACAAAACTAGTGTTTTTCACCTACTGAGAACAAATTCCAGGACTTAGCCACTTAAGCTCCTTTTACATAGCCAAGCCGAAGTTCAGAAGGGGACTTTTTTCCTAAATATCTTTGTCTTGAAGGATAGCAAGTGTCTTTGATTTGTTTGGATAAGAAATAATGCAATAAAGACATATTGTTCTGATTTCATACCTCAGGGACTCTGAGAAAGAACACACTAGTTTACTCTTACATTTGTAAACTAAAAAAGTAGGTTTAGATTATGCTTCCCTAAGTAGTTTCTGTTTAGGTACATATGTCCTGTTTATATAGGAATACATATGTGTATAACATGTTAGTTTTCTTTACACACACCCCACACGATGTTCTCCTCTTACCTGGTGTGGGGAGGGGAGAGAGACACCCGTAGGGACAGCCGCAGGAGAAGACCCAGGGTGAAACGGGGAGGGTCAGGAGATGGGGGTGAGGGACCTGAGAGGGTGACTGTCGCCATGACAGAACCCTCCGAGGAGCTGATAGCACTTAGTGAAGGCAGCTTTGTCTAGCTCTAAAACAAAGTGCTTTCAAGAGCTATTGTTTCTGAACGATTGGGAGCAGTTTCCCAGCTTGCCTGCTCTTTTGATAAGTAAATAGAGTCTTTGGCTCAACCCAAAGAACTGCTAATCAGATTCTGGTGGGGATGTAGTTGTGGGTATAACTGGAAGTCAGCTGCTCTGGCTGGACCCACGGCCTCACCCTGCGTGGTGGAAGGATTCAAGACCCCCGTGTGAGTTCCACGCTGGAGGAATTCACTGCCCTTTCCAGGTGCTGGAGCTAGGAGTGTTGTCAAACGGGGTGGGGGGGGGTTAAAGATATTTGAACTTACTATCTCACAGACACGAGTCTCACCTTCAAGCAAGGCTAGGAGAAAAACGAATTCAAATTAAACACGAAGATAGTGGAAAGAGCATACATGTTTTCTTATACGCATGCCCACGGCCTCTCACTGTCCTTGGGATCCTCATTTCTTCTGTGCTTCTGCGTGGTCCCCATGTTTTTTCCTACTTGAGGGATGTGGTTCTCACAGGGGTCGTTCTGTAAATCTCCCCTGTTGGCGCGCAGGACTCTCCAGGGAGACGCAGACAGCCTGCACCAGTCCGCACGGCGCCGAGACTCTCGAAGTGTAGACATGCGGGGGAAATGGGGGGCCTGCTTGCTAGACGGGCCGACAGGCCTTTAATAAATGGTACTGCCTTTTAAATTGAGTTTTTATTTATCGATTTGTTTTTAGTTTTTTGTAGAAGTCAGAACTGGTTCACATACATGGGTGTAATTGTCTCCCTTTTCCGAGCCTCATTTTGATGGATGACTCCTTATTGAGTAAAGTGTTATCTGAAGGTCTCCCCTAACAAATGACTCTTCTCTTCCCCGCTTCCCGCCTTGTGGACACAGCGATGGAGATACGTTTATATCTCTGAGTCAGCTTGACTGAGATACAGTTCACACACCATACGACTCCAGCATTGCAGTGTACAATTTCATAGCTCAGAGTGCAATCACAGAGTCGTGGAACCACGGTCACAGTCGATTCTGGAACGTTCCCTCACCCCAAAGGGAAACCCCGTACTCATTAGCGGTTACTCCCCACTTCTCTCCAGCCTCTCCCCACCAGCCTTAGCCGCCTACCACTCTGCTTTCGGTCTCTGGGGCTTTGCCTACGGTGAGCGTTTTATGTACGTGGAATCGATAATACGTCGGTCTGTGGGACCGGCGTCTTTCACAGCAGCGTGTTTCCAAGGTTTAGCCGTGCGTCAGTACTTCACTTCCTCTTACTGCCAGCTGCTGTGTCACTGTATGGTTACGTCACGTTTTACCCACTCGTCAGCTGGTGGACGTTTGGGAAGTACCCCCTTTTTTGCCATTCTCAACAGTGCTGCCATGGACATTCATGCACAAGTTAGTGCGTGAACATGTATTTCATTTCTCTTGGGCGTACGTCTAAGGGGCGGAATTGTTAAAGGATACGGTAGGTCTGTGCTTAATCTTCGGAGAAACTGCCAGCCTGTTCTCCAAAGCGGTGGCGCCGTTTTCATTCCCTTCAGTAGTGTGAGAGAGTTCCAGTGTGTCCATGCCCTGGTCAACACTTGTTGTCATCTGCCTCTTTGATTACGGCCGTCCTAGGGGTGGGTGCCAACTGATGCGCATTGTGGTTTTGATGTGCTGTTCCCTAGTGGCTGATCACGCGAGAATCTTTTCGTAGGCTTGCTGGCTGTTTGTCTGTTTTCTTTGGGGAAGTGTCTGTTTAGCTCCTAAGCCCTTTTTTTAGTTGAGTAATTTGTCTTCTTTTCTGTTCTTTTGATCTCACCTGGGCAGGATGCTGATATGCTAACTGGAGATGAGCAAGTGTGGAAGGAAGTTCAAGAATCCTTGAAAAAAATCGAAGAGCTGAAGGCACATTGGAGTATCCTTTCCACCCATGGACTGGGTTGGACTGTCGGGACTGCTTCCTCATTGGTGGAAGCCCGGTGTCAGCGAGGCCAAGGCCAGGGTCTGGTCTCTCCAGGGGGCTCCATTCTGGTCCTTGGTCCAGTAATAGGAGGTCAGTGAGTCGTAGTCTTTTTCTATGTGAAAGGTAACAGATTTCTGGGCTCCCTTTCTCCCGTAACCCACATCTCTAGGAAGGAATAGCTTAGAATCCGTACATTTCAGTGTCATTGGCCCTCAGATCCAGCAGCTTCATATTACACCATCCACGACTACAATGGCAACGGGAGCTGCTGGGCGCTACAGATTTCTCAGCATGAGCAGTAAGGACCATGAGCGAGCGGGTCAGAGCTCCGTGTAAGCACAGATCACTCAGGATGGAGGTCAGGTTGCACAGGAGATTCCCAAATCGGGGACGGGATTTCTGTAGGCAGAGGCTGAGACGGGGCTCACTTCCCGTGGAGAAGTTTGCTGAGCAACAATGTGACAAAGGGGAACCACAAGGTAAGAAGAAAGAGACCAAGGCTGACGGCAGAGGTCACAGAAGGTCACTCGGATGCCTTGGGTAAGTGGCACCCCGGGCACGGAGATCTGCAGGCGAGGTTTCCAGTCTGTCGACAAGGTTCTTCAAAGAGCCGTAGAGGAGAGGAGAGAGAGTCAGACGAATAAGTAATTCCTGAAATCTGTAGCCCGGTGAAGTTTTGGGGCGTTTCGGGGGTGTGTGTGGCTGGCATTGGTTTTACTAAAGGCATGCAATAGGAAGCTGAGACCGCCAGGGTGCCGCGTGGGTGCCTGCACGTGAGTCTGTGGAATCGCAGCTTCCTTGGGGGAAGTTTGTCGTTTGCAGAAGGAGTTTTGAAAAGGAAGAAAACAAGGCAAGACGTTTCTGCCAGAGGCTGGCACGACCAGACGTCTCACTACATGGTTGAATGGCGGCCCTGAGAAACCGATGCTGACTGGGTGACTGTCACTCTGAGCGCTTTGTCCCCACCCCAGTCCCCTTCCACCGTGGATCCCGCACCCGAATGAGGACCCAGAGCACAGGCTGCTCAGATCCCCAGATGCGTTTCAGTGGGGAGGACGGCGGGACCCTCCGGACGGCGGACGGCGGAATCGAGAGCTCAGAAGCTCCCTGCAGGCTTGAAATACTCCTGAGTCCAAAATTCCACAAGAAATTCCACAAGAGTGTGTAGAAAATCTTCTTTGGGGGTGAAAAAGCTCAACTGTATAAATATACACAAAGATTAGCTGCAGAACAGAGGAAAGAATTTTAGGGTTTCAGTAAACAGCAAATTCTAGTCAAATTTCAGAGTATAATGTAACACCCCCCGCCCCCGCCAAAAGACCTCTGTGGTCTTGGGCTACATTACTAGAAATAGAGGGCAGAGAATGAGGAAGGTAATAGTGTTTCCATGTCTGGAATCTTTTACTCAGTTTTGGGTAAGACACACTAAGAGGAATAGACAAAAACTGAAATAAGTCCAGAGGAGCGGGACCAGAATCCAGATGGAATTTGACATCCTGTCTAGCGACAGGATTGCGGCTATTTGGACAAGGGCCAAACCTGGGAGCAAGAGAGCGTCCTTGGGCCCAACGAGCTGTCCCACGGCAGAGGAATGCATAGACGTGTCCTGCGGGGTCCCGGCGGCGGAATTGGGGCCCATGGGTGGCCCAGCAACGTTGACTCTCGACCGGACAAGGCTTCGCTGAGCGCCGACTCTGAGCCAGGGGCCTGGCCAGTTAGGAAGCACGTAAATGAATACATATTCCGGTCAAGTGCAGGCACAGCTCACTTTACGGCACTTCACTCAATTACGCGTCACTGATGTTGCGGGTTTCACAAACTGAAGGCAAGACCTCCCGCCAGCAAAGAGCACGACTCCCCCGGTTGCGGTGGTCCGGAACCAGACCCTCGATCTCGGCGAGGTCTGCCTGCACGCACTCGAGGGCCATCAGAGGCAACGGTGGTCGGCTGGGGGAGGGTAAAGAGCGTCTCACGGAGGAGGCAGCCCCCGAGCTGTGGCTGGGAGGACTGCCCAGAGCTCACCGGGCGGCTCGGTGAGGGAGGTGAGCCTGAGGACGTTACCCGTGCAGACGACATGACGTAATGTGCAGAAGCACGTTGTCGAGAAAGTGCCAGTCATTCAGTCTGAGAGGCGGGGAATGGCCAGGCCTTCCGTGCCATGCACTTGACTTTGTAGGCGAAAGGGGACTGTGGGAGGGTGTTGAGGCCATGGCATGAGGTGATTAGGTGTGTGAAAGCCCTGTGGTCTGACAGGCTTTGTCCCAAGGTGCTAATTAATTCCCAAGTGAATTCACTCTGGCCCCCTCTCTCTTTGCCCCGGATCCTCTTCTGGTCGTTGACAGGTTTTCAGGAGAAACGGTGTCTGTCCTGTCCGCTGCTCCTCTGTCCGTTCTCTCCGGGGCGGGCTCGCCCACCCTGCGGGGAGGTCCGCGCTCCCCTCCCCGCCCAGCGGAATGAGTCAAAGTAAACACCGAGCCAATGCCAGCGACTGAATTTTTGAGCAAACACACGCCGGCACTGGCTTGGGGGAAAAGCCTCTTAGTTAAAATCAGTCTGTTTTTTGGCTCACTGGGGCGTTTTGCAGGGAAGGCCGGCCCCGTCTGCCAGGAGATGGGTGCCAGCGCTGCGCGGGGAAGCTGGCGCGCGGCCCCTTCCAGCTTGCCGGGGGGTGAGGCAGATGTGTTTCTGTCGGGGGATGCAGCGCGGCTCCTCTGGCTCCTGCTCCCGAGGCTCATCAGCCTCGGACCCCTTTCCCGTGAGCTGGAGCTCGGACGAGTGGACGGGTGAGTACGGACGGGGGTCAAACAACACGACTTCCAGTGGGAGGCAGAGCCTCGCCACAGACGCGGCTGGCCCTGTGCGAGAGGCGGTCGCCTCCCCCGACAGTGCGTCAGGTGTGCGCTGCTGGCATGAAACTGGAATGAAAAGCCACGGAGGTCAGCCCAGCGATCTGTCACAAAGTGGGTACGTCGCCTCCGACACCGCTCCCCCCAGCCTCTGGGAGGTTTGTTCAGCGCACTTGAAACTTGAAACGTACGTGGCAGATGAGCACAGAAGAAAGTCACCAGTTCACTTTTCTTCAGTACGTGCACCTTTCCTGAGGCCAGGGTCAACGTCCCCCAGTCACGAGTCACCGTAAAATCAGCGTGGTGCACGAGAAACGGGACACAACGGCCTGCAGCCGTGTGCAGCGGGGGCTGAGGAAGCATGCCTGACACATGTCAGGCGTCACGTCTCCAGGAGCCCCCCCCCAACCCCCCCCCCCCCCGCCATGGAGAGGAAAATAGATTTCCTCTGGGGGTTAGCGGAGACATCAGTCCCGCCCACGCACGTGGCCCGATCAGTATATTGGAAGTGTTTGCTGATGCTTTGGCAAGCAGCGCCCCAAGAGTCGGGGTTCTGGGGGGGTAGACTTTGCTGGAGCCAGACGGAGGAGCGTCAGAGCGCCCTCTGTTCAAGGTTGTGTTAGGGCCGGATGGAGAGGCCCTGGGACGGGGGCTGGGGGACAGAGAGCACTGGACAGTGAAGGGACTGGATTGCGTGGACGTGGGGAGGGGCGTGGGTGGATGGATGAAATTTGATCAAACTCAGCCGGCCGAACCTTTGTCCTTAGGCCCCGTCACACTGAGAGGCGCGTCAGGGACGGGGAGGGGCCCTCATTTCGGTGTGGCGTGTATCCTGTGCGTCACACTCTCTTCCCACTGTGTTCCGGCTCCCGAGCCTTGCCCGGCTCACAGTGGAACACATAAAGGGTATTTTTAATTTTACACACAGTTTATGTGCTCTTTGCTGTGACATTAGGCATTTTCATTTCTGGCCTACCTCGGAGTGCTCAAGAGGGCTTGCTCGGAACCTCAAATTGGGCAAATGGGGAAACCAGCTTGGGTTTAAATCCAGCTTTACCTACAGTCCAAGGCTCTGCCATTTCTGCGACGTCTGGAATCGGCGAACCTTTCACCTTAGAGGAATTCCAGCACCTGAATGCAGACGACTTTGCAGCAACAGAGATTGAAGGTGGGAGAGGGGCGGGAGGACGGCCGGCCCCCTCCCAGCATCCTCCTTGGCCTCCCGCTCCCCTGACAACGTGCAGGAAAGAAACCACACTAGTCCTCGGATGCCGGCAGTCTCAATTCGACTCTGCTTGCGGGTTAATTCGTCTCGGGGGGTTCAAGGCAGGCCCCATCCATACACCATGTCCTCAGTCCCCTGCCTGTGTCTGTAAGAGGACAAGTTACAGCCTTCCTAGAAAGTGAGGTCACCTCACCGCAAGGGTCATGAGAGTTAAGTTCTGGCTAACCAGAAAGTCAGCGTTGTTCAGGACTGGGTACGGGGTTTCCTCTCCACCCTTTTTGAGGCCTCGTTGCCCCCCGCTCATGCTGAGGTTTAGAGAGAATAATGCATCTAGGAACGTGGAGAAGGAATGGTTCTTTGGAAACCTGGCCCCACGGAGCTGCAGCTCGGCTGGAGGCTGCTCCATGGGCGCAGACAGAGTTCCCCTCCCCGGGGCGCCACGTTCGCGTGGTGGTCTCGGGTGTGTTTCCGGGCAGTGCGTCTGCACGGCACCGTGCGTCCGCCTTCCCTGCTCTGCCTGGGAGCGTGTCCGCCTCCCGGAGAATCTCCGCTCACGTGTGTGTATTTCTCGGCGAGGACCGTGAACCCTTAACGAAGGCTAACAACAGAGTGGGAGCAGGTTCTGGCCCTGTGCCAGGCGGTCCTGAGCCGCAACGCCGAACGGCTCCCCGACATCAACATCTACCAGCTGAAGGTGCTGGACTGCGCCATGGACGCCTGCATCCACCTGGGGCTGCTGGAGGAGGCGCTGCTCTACGGCCTCCGGACCATGGAGCCGTACAGGTGCGTCCACGGGGGAGGGCTCAGCGGGGGCCGCCGTGCCTTGACTCGGGGCCAAGGACGGACGTCGTGAAGTCGTTCCGATTATGCGCCTTTCTAGTGCGTGTCCCGTCGGCTCCTCAGTTCGCAAAACCAAACCTGGTTCTGGTCACTCCTTCGTGCCTTCGTTTATGCATTTGTCCATCATTGGTCCAGTTGCTTCTGTGGGTCAGCAGAAACGGTGAGATGCCGTCTGGATGTGGGGGTGGTACTCACACTGGGGTGCACTGTTCACGGTGGCAGAGGCGAGCATAGTGCCCTGGGGGTGCCGGAGAGGCACGCACGTGCAGACCCCACTCGGGGAGGCTGTGTCATCAGCCTCAGCGGATCGAGGGGAGGGAGGCGGCCCGGTGTGGGGTCCTCGGTCTGGTACACAGTAATGATGGTGTCCTCCACTTGTCAGGGCTTTGCGAGTTCCCGGGTGTCTTCACTCGAATACTTTCACCTCGTGGCCGCCTTAGACCCAAGCAGAGAGCAGGGAGACACAATGCAATGCAGCATTGAGTCAGATGGAGGAACTGTTGGCTATTCCCTGTCTCTCGTCTGGCCTCAGTCCTTCAGACCAGCGGGCGTTTTGTCCCTGGCTGTTCTGTGGACTCAGAGCTGCTCTGGAAGTGCAGGGGCCTGGTGCTGAGAGTCTGGTGCTGGTGGGTGTGGGACCCTGGTGTGCAGTAAGCAAGAACGGGTTTGGAAGTCGAGGCAGATCAGTCCAAGGGAGGGGGTGCAGAAACACACGTAATAACCATCTCCAGCACAGAACGAGGTCATTCACTGCTCAGAAGGTACCCCAAAGTATCTGGGATCCAGGGAGTTGGGGGGAGGTCCCCAGAGAGCTGGGGACCCCTTCTGGGTAGCTCTGAAGACCATGCAAGCAGGATGGCAGCTGCAAGGGGCTCGGCAGTGGGAGAACCCAGGCCTAGGTCTGTGCAGCGTGGGGCAGCAGGCAGGGGCGTGAGTTTGAGGGTGGGGAGAGGATGCAGAGCTCAGCCTCCTGCCTGTCCCCGCTTGAGGAATAGCCTCAGAAGACGACTAACAGGAGAGGTGACCAAGATGAACACGATAAGGACAGAAACGCGTGTGGAGTCTGGGATGTTATCTAGTCCAGGCAGAGTGGTCAGGAAGCCAGGACAGGGCCCCGGAGCGTGCTGCCGGAGACCCGGCCCACCAGGGGTATGGCAGGGGGTTGGCAGCCCAGCCGTGGCCCCGGGCAGCCCTGAGGGTGTTTGCAGAACTTCTGTAGGTGGCTTCTTCCGCTGCCTTGTGGTTGAACAGCTTTGGAATCTAGACTGTGAGTCAGCTTCCATCAAATTTGTAAGAGATGGCCTCGAGGGCCAAGACTGCAGACTTTCCCATGATCCTGAAGTGTGTTCCACATGGTGAATGTTGTGGCTTTGCAGAAAATATGAACTGAATGCAAAGAGATAAGGCTTCATGCCCCAAGCCTTTGTGTTGCAACGAGAGGCAGGTGGGGGACGGTTGGTGTTCCCTCTCTGAACTCCGGGGCTTGGTCCCAGGAAGCCAGACTGTGGGCTGCCTGCCGGGTGGGGGATGAATTCCAGCCAGGAGATGCAGACTGAGAAGATGCTCCCGTCTCTGGGTGCCCCAGCAGCCAGCAGCACCAACCCTGCCTGCCCCATCCTCCCCTCCCTCTAACGCCCGGGCTGCCTCTGAGTGCAGAAGTTTCATGCTGGCCCACCGCTTCACAGGGAGGGCCGCACACCTTCGAGGGCGCTGCGTCTGCACATACTTTCGAATCCTCTTTCCCCCACACCTAGCAAGGAAGGCTTCTTTGAAGAACTCACTTATCCCTTAATTAAATGGATGCTTTACTGACAACCTCGAGTCAAACCCCGTAGTTGGCAGGTCACACTCTCTGTGTCTGAACCCCCTCTTCTGACACTTGCTGACAGGTCTCCAAGCCTCCCTTGTTTCTCACCCCCGGAGCTTGTTGGGAAGGTGCTCTGCGGTGTTCTCTGTTTCAGGAAACCCGGTCTGCATCAATCCGCTTCAAACAGGTGGCACCTGAGTTGTTTGCTTGCAAAGGTGCAGTGGAGGAAAGGAAACCACTTTAATCCAGAACCGACGGAGTGTAGAGAGAGGAGGAGCAGTGTCCTTTAACCAAGGACGTGGGCAGCTAGTTAGGCGTGAGTCATCGAGGGCTGACCGGACTGCTACCCGCCCTAACAGTTTTGCAGGGTTAGTCCACTGTTGTCAACAGCCAGATGGAGGTCAGGAGTCGCGTGGTGGTTCTGTCCCTCCTGGCCTTCGAGGACAGAGTGTCCGTGTTCCATTTTTGCCCAGATCCCCGTGTTGCCTTCAGCTCCTTTCTTTCTCCTCAATTATTTAATGCTTTTACTCAAGTTCTCCTTAGGACGAGCAGACAATACAACATTAAGTTCTTGGTGTTTCCTAAGGCGCGTTGCAAATAACTCACGCACGCACGACAGGATTTGTCACTCTGGCTCACGGGGTTTCTTCTGAGAGCATCTGGGTGTACATCCGTGGTTACACATGCGTGGTCTCTGTCCCTTCGCCGCGTAAACATCAGGCAGAAGGAAAGTAATTTCAAGGTATTGTATAAATTTTGTTTAAAAATCTAATTCAGCCAAATCTCAACCGTAAGCTGAATTGGGTTCCAGAAGTCAGTTGGCCGGGTGGTCGTTTGACCCAGGGGAGCATCTTCCTCGGGGGGAGGTGTTCCGGGCTGTGCCGGGGCTGGGCGACCACCCTCACCTTGCGGGTGCGCGCTCCGCATTTGAAAAAGGAGAAGAGACGTGCGTCCAACTGAACATAGCTTTAAAATTGCTGTAAGTTATGTCAGATACAAATTAAACTTGATTTTCTTCAGGGACCAGAGAGTGAAAACAGAAACACAGAGGCTTTTTAGAGCTTTGAAGGGGGACTTTCATTGTATCCATACCTGTCTATTAACTTAATTATTGTTATAAGACTAGTATATACTTCTAAAATGGGACATTTTTGCAAAGAACACAAAGGTAAAACTTGTCCCATTCCCCGCGGATAACCGAGGAAAGTCTCCTCCCCGAGAACGTCCGTGTGTGTACGCACACTCCGCTCACAGCACGCGTCCCCGACCCTGGGAGGCCTCCCTTCTTCCCCACTCTCCGCGTCCCCAGCCGTCCTCACCCCCCCGAAGACCGCTTTTCCCTCGCTCTCTCCTCCGTCTGCTCCACACTCTTCTCGTGGGCCCTTCCCCTGTTTGCTCCTCTCTGTACTTCTCTCTCGCCTCCCCTCTTCCTGCCTGCCCTGCGGAGACACTCAGTTCCAGTCTCCATCTGTTCCGTATGCCCAGGGAGGTGGTGGGTGGGAAGAGGACAGAGAGAAGGAGAGGCTAAGACCTGTCCTTCATGATCAGAGAGAAAAAATAGGATCCCTTTGTGTCTCCTGTGCACCGATTGCATTTTTCATCTGACAACGAGGTGTGGACATCTGTCCAAATCCACTCCTGAATACCTACCTTATTCTGTGTGAGAGAGGCGCAGTTTCTGGTCTCATGAACATACCCCAGTGTGTGGACCAGGCTCTGTTGTTACCATGTGTGTTTACAATGTCAAACAGTGTTACGACTCACAGGCACACACCTGTGTTTGTGTGCTGATGGGCTGACTGTGTAGGGTAAAACCATACGATAAGTTTCTGAATGCTGACTTGCCCGCATCAGAAGTTATGTTCATTTTAAATGCAAATAACTGTCCCCAAATTGTGTGGCCCATCCACCGAGATGTCCCTGTTTTGCCCAGAGAATTGAGACTGGATGACCTGATGTTTACGATGTCCAATGTAAATTCATTTCAGAATAGTAAGGGCCTCCTCCTTTTCCTTGACCGCAGCCCGCCCTGTGGAGGGAGATTTCCCGGTATTGACTGCGTGATCCACAGGCCATAGGTTTGTAACGGGGGACGGCGTCTCCTCGAGTCTCCTGGGGACGAGGAGGAAGAATGAGGTCGGTGAAGGGGACTGAACCAGCCCGGCTGCCGACGCGGCGATGATGGAGAGGGAGAGGGCTGTGAAACCCCCTTGAGGGGGGGAAGCTGGAAAGAGGGAGGTTTCGGCTCCGTTTCCTGTGCTTTGTTGTCGGGAAAAAAATGGTGCAAGAGGCGAAGGGACACACGGCGGGCGGCTTGTGCACCTGACATGTTTACCAGTCAGGTGCTTGCAGCTCCGAGGCGGCCGGTGATGACACAGACGCCACGTCAGTTTTCATTCTTCCAGTAATTTTTAAGCTCTTCCCTCAGGAGCTCTGGCAGATGAGTTGATAAAATGTAAGGTTTCATCACCGCAGTACTTTCCCACGACTGTGTCCAAGCCGGCTTTTCTCCTGAAGACGCACAGTCACTCTGCTGTGCGGTCTGTCATCTGTCAACGTGACGGTCCGGGGCGGGGGCCCGCAGAGCCCGCAGGTGCGCATCACCATGGGGGCGGGGGCGGGGGCGGGGGGGGGTGGCGTCGGGGGAGTGATGGGCGCCGCACCCACCCAGCACCCCCCCCCCCGCCCCGGGCCTGTCTTCTCTGTCCCCTCCCTGCTCCGGGTCACACACGTGCCAGTTCATGTCGGCACACCTGTCAGGGATGCTCTGTCCTGGAAGTCAGGCTCCCTGGCTCGTGTCCCCGGTGCAGAACTTGCCGCAGCCAGGCTCCAAGAGTCGGACCCGGGGAAGACATCCGGGCTTTTCTACCCAGGAGGGGACCTCCCGTGCTCAGCTCACTTGCCTTGCTGGCCATCTGCCTCCCCCGGTGTGCTTTACGGGATTTTCACGAGCCGTTTCTCTGACTGCACTTTCTGGGGGGAAACACAGAGATGGAAATCCCTACCCCCAGGGGTCCGCTCCTCTTCCCTCTGTCCCGCATACCCTTCCTCGAGATGCCACCCGTGCGTTTGGGTGGAGACGGGGTCGCTGGCCGGCTGTGCTGGGCGGTTGCAGCCCCCACCCCCCCGGGGCTGC